ACACAAGTAATTAGTCACAACAGAAACATAATTCAGTTTATGGTCTGGTTCTCCCTGTTGTGAGATCATCTGTATTTGAACCTTAAATTGAGATCAAATTCTCTGCTATTTTGTAAACGTAATCTTTTAGAAAGGCAGACTGTCCCCTTTCAAGTTTGTCTCCAAAGTGCATGCCCTGAACAGCAGCTGATAGTATATTCAGCAAAGATAATAGTACCTACTCCATACTGATATTTGTTTTTATATCTGTCTTGGGTAAGGAATATTGAATAGCTGTATATAGCTGTTCAAGTGTTTTTTCCTACCCATATGTGTCTTCAGTTTGTGGATGCATCCCACAACAAAGCTAAAATCTGAGTGTGCTGTTGAGGTACTGCTTGGTATCAAGTTGCAGCCACCCTGCTCAGTTGTGTCTCATGCATAGGATTTGGAATTTTTGAATTTTGTTTTGGAATTTGTTATGGCATTTTTCTTTTTTAAAATATTTTGTTTCATTCTGTATCATGTCATTAATGACACCTTAATGACACTATCCTTACTGATATATCACATAATCATTGCCCTACTAGTTTTAAAAATCATTGCATACTGCTCACTAGTCATCAAGGCTCTGCAGCCTTTCTCCTGAGGTTGTGTGTTGCTGCTTCAGACTAATAAGATGTTTTGCTGAAAAGACACATTTCTGCAGCAACTTTTGTTGAAATCAATACATTTGTGAAATTGTCTGATTTTAATGAGTAGGGTAATTTCTGCCAACTTTTTTTTTTTTCTTTTTTAATAAAATACTGTTATGGTTAGGGTGCCAACACCACTGCTAATGTTGAGTTCTGTGCCCAGCTTCTGCTTCCCTCGACTGCATGCCCTACAGTTTCCCTTTTTCCTGCTTGGAGAAGCAGTTCTGGCTTCTGTCTCCTAGGCCTATTAAGTTTGTCAAAGTTTCTTGCTATAGCTCACTGTAGTTTTTGAAGTTTTGAGTCTTTTGTTCAAAGGATCAAAAGTTTTAGATGGCGATAAGTGTTTTAGGCTGTGCAGAAAAGCATCTCTGAGAGTGAAGTTTTCTGGTCTTCATGTCTTATTCATTGCTTCCTGTAATTGTAGGGGAAAGGGCCAGATGATTTAAGAGGTCCTTTCTACTTTTATTTTCCTATTTCCTATTAGCCATCTTTGTGTTTAAAAAAACACACTGAAGAGCAAATGCATGAAAAGAAAAAAAGAAGAAACCAGAAAATCTAAAACGTGCTCTGACAACAGCTGGGAATTCAGCCCTTTGCCATGAATCCTGATTTTGTTTTCTGCTACATCACACTTTGCCAGTTACTAGCTTTGTCATGGTGTAATTTCCCAGAAATAATTCCTGTTGCACTTTGATCTGCCACTCCTGCAGCCTGTGTGGTACGGCATTGCCACTGAACTTTATTTGACTTCATGTAGTTCCATTGCTTTGTATACAGTGATGGAGACTGATTAAGGAGCTGAAGAATAAAATCAGTGGCCATATTACATGCTAATCACTATAGTGTTGTGTAAAGACAGTCTACAAAGACACATAAGGAAGTTTGGTAAAAATAAATATTTAACTCATGGCTGGAAAAGACCCTATACATGATACAGTTTATTTGGAAACAAGCATCTTCAAGTATTTTAGTACTCATTTCTTGCATTCTTTCCTGATACATTATGTTTCACTCTGCTTCATGTGCATCCTGTTTAATCACAGTAAAAAAATATTTTTGTAGTTAGCAGGATGCTAGCCAGATACTCTCTTGCTTTCTTCACTTCTTATGTTTCAGAAAGATACACATGCATTTTCCCAGAGCAATGTTGTGTAACTCTGTACTGTAATGGTTTATATTAATTTTCAAAGGCAAGTAGGACTTGCTGATTTTTAATATAGATTAAGGCTCATATTAAGCTTAAGTAAGACTCAAGATACAAGAGAAATAATGAGTTATTTCCTAGGACCTTTAAGGTTGGAAATTAAAAGTAGAGGCCTAGGCTTGGCAGAAGTTGGTTAATAACTTTTTTCGCAGGAGAGTATTGATGACAGATTAGTTAAGTCAATTAAGGGAAGGGGTTTAATAGCTGTGTTCATTTCTGAAAATCACTGTAATAGTTCTAAGTGTTAAATTCTGTGTACAGAGTGGCATTTTTTGGCCTACAACATAGTTATGGCATTGAGATTCATGGACCCTATAAATCTACAACAAAGGGGAAGTTAGTATAATAACTTCCAGTAAAATATGAGACGTGCAAGCTGAATGAAAGACAAAATTAAGTTTGCTTTGGGCACAGCTGGCATAGATTTAGATTTGGGTTTAAAATTAGAAGAGTTTGTCTTGTTTGACTTACGTTTTTCTGTTTGTACCACACAACAGCTACAAGGTTAGTTTTAGGGCTAGAAAAAGTAAAATACAGTTGTGAATATTAAGTTCTAGAAGTGGATGGGTACAGTGATGGTTGCTTGGTATAAATACATGCCGGGGTTGGAATTAATGTTGAGGTTGGGGAAAACAGGAGTTTCAGAGCCCACATTACTGCTGAGCAGCATGAAGCCCATGGAGTGAGTACAAATACGCATGCTGAAAGAGGAGAGAACTGCTGTTTCTAGACTCTGGATGGTGTTTGTCTCTAGTTTATGCCATAGCAAGGCTGATGGCTGGAATTAGGCTTGGATTTGGGGACAGCTAGTGCTCAAGCACACATCTCCTCCTCTTCCCTCCTCTCATCCTTACTCTGTGAGTGAAACTATGTGCTTTGGCCTTCAGGATAACCAATGGCTGCAGAGCAATGCCAGTGCGATACAGAGATTCACAGCAAGTTTTGCGACCAGAGTAGTGCGGGGGGTATTTCCAAGATCAGTTAGGGTCATTCTTTGAACAGCAGCCATCCTCCTGCAGGGACTCTGAAATACATTTGCCTTCTGGGAAACTTAGAAAAAACTTGCAAATATTTATAAATGTACACAGTGCAATGTTCAGCTTGACAGTTAATACTGAAAAGCTGTTCCAGTTTCAGATATTACACATGCAGTGCTGCCATCCTTTTTAAAATTGTTTTCTGTTTTCATGAAAACTGTTAGCCCTTTCTTTCTCCCATCAGCCCAGTCAGCATTTTATAACTGTAAATAAGAGGAGACTGTAATACCATGTCTTCCTCCTGTCAGTCACTGTTGACTGGCTTTAGCCCCTTGCATCACTGCAAGTGTTGGCAGGTTATATTATCTATTGGCGCATGACCAATGGAGTAGTTTCTGATGAGCTCTGGTTATTTGGTCCTGAGCTATGGTGGTTCTGGTTTCCACTGTGCAGAAAAGGCTGTATTCCTCAGGAAATACCAAAAAGATCAGAGGCCTCCTCACAGCAGCCGTAACATACACTGTTTTTAGAGAGAGAGGTATTTATATGAACCTGGATTGTGGGTTTAGAGATGCTAAATGTACACAAAATCCTGTTCCTGCTGCCTGTGTAATCATTGTTTTTCAACAAGGTAATTGAGAAGGAGGTAGGTATTTTTAAAATATTCCTATACACAGAAAATAGAATCTGAAATTACCCCCAACTGAACAGGCAAAATAGAATAACATTATGTGTGCTTTTAAATTTTTGTTTAATTGAGATGAAATAAACTAAAAAAAAAAAGCAATTGGCATAATTTTCTTTGAGAAAGCTGAAAAGGACTCAAACTCTTGCTTATGCATCTAAAACTATGTATTTTTTTATCATCAAAGCCATTTTATTCAAACTAGTTGTAACATTGCAGCAGTAAAATCAGATGATCCCTTTAAAGTTAGTATGATATATAGCAATTGCTTTGAAACACAGTAATTTTACAAAATGAATTCTTTTTATAGTGCAAGATATTTGCATTAGCTACCTATAAAATTTTAGAGGATGACAATTTTGCTTTTAGCAACCTACTGACCAACTAAAAAAGATGGTTTCTTATGAAACTCCATATTCTGTCTTGGGTCCCATTGCTTGTCATTTTACCATCCCATAATTTCATTAATTACTACCACAGACTGTTCTGTATGAAAGGAAAGTCGTATTACTGCTGGAGCGAATACCCACAATCCCTGCTTTCTAATAATCAGTTTCATTTTTTCATATCCCTGGTGATCATCTTCCTATAGTCCTGTTTTGCCTTGCCCTTACTTTGCTGCGTGTTAAACTGTATAAAGAATTGCCGTCTTCCAGCACTACATGGCCCTGTACTGTCTGGTGGCTTCACTCTTGCAGAGAGTTGTTCTGAAAAATAGATATTCTTAAACAGTATTCCCAGGAGGTGAATTAAGCGGATTTGTGAAGGCTTTCAGATAGATAAAAATTAAAGGGGTCTTGAGCATATATTGGAGGGAAAACTCATGGCAGATGAAGGAATGAGTCAGAGAAAGTGAATCACTTTGTATCGCAGGCACAAATTATCTTAAGTCTTAACTTTCTTGTTCCGGATTAAATACTTCACGCAGCAGACTGTATTCACCTGCAGTATTTTCTTTCTGACTCAGTGTCGTCAAGGTGTGGTAGTGTTCAAGCTCAGACATGAGCTCTGTTGCTGAGCAGATCCTGTAGGAAATGTTTTTTCTCGGTTAAAAGAATAACTTAAAAGGAATCAGTTAACTGTTACCTGACAGGACAATAATTTTTTTGTCTCTCAATTGCCAATGTATATATTTCTAAATTCATATGCATCTGTATATATTAATATCTTTGCTGCATTTCTTCTGACACAACGATGTAACGTCACAGAAACAGCAGTACACATATTCAGGTGTATACAGCCTAATCCCCGGAGGCTTCTCCACCAAAGTAGCCCCTGGTGAATCCAGTGTATGAACGTGCAAGTAGAGCTGTTGAACAGCTCTGGAGAAAACTCCTGGGTGCCTTAGGTGCTGTATCTGCTAACAGCCTCTTTACCTGTTCCCTACTGTGTGCCAGCCAATAATGCTGCTGGGCTTTTCCAGTATCATTAAAGACCTAATGAATTTCCTGTTACTTTAGGTTGTTGGTTGGCTCACCCTGGAGTGGCTATCTGTCTAACAGAACTGGAGATATCTATGCATGTCCTGTTGGTACGATCAAAACCGCATGTAAAAAACTGAATTTAGAAGGTAAGTTGTCATGAATAATGTCTCACTACAATTGTTCAGTTCTTCCTTGTTTTTGTACCAGGCCAATCTATTTTACTAAATACTTTCTTAGCCTTCAGCATCATCTCAGTCTCGTGTGTGTGTGTCTGAGAGAGAGATTGTGAGTGTGCGCGTGTGTGTGTGAGAGAGAGAGTGTGAGTATGGATGCGTGTGAGAGAGTGTGTCTGTATGAGAAAGTGTGTGAGAGAGAGAAAGAGCGTGTCTGTGTCTGTGTGTGTGTGTCCATGCAAGGACTCGATGCCAGCTACTGGTGAGACCCGTGTGAGTGAAAATTGGTGCCTGCCCCTGGAGTGGGGCCGAGGTGTGGGTGCCCTGGCCTGTGGTGTAGCTGCTGGAGCCACGGGGGTCTCAGCATCAGCTGCTGGAGCTGCTGGGGCCTGTAACCTCCAGCCATGGGGCGGGAACAGTGTGTGCCCCAAAACCAGCTGCTGCGGGGACCGGGGCTCCACACTGGTGAGGGTCTCTGCCCTAGCAGCTGGAGCGGGACCACAAGTCACAGCCCGGGGGTCTGGTGCCGGCTGCTGGGGGAGGATGAGTGTGTCTGTGTCTTCCCCAAAGCAGGTGCACGCATGCATGCGTGTGTGTTCACTAGCAAACTTTCAGCTGGACCAGCCACCTTAGGGGGGCCTCAGGTCCCAGGTATCAGGTGGGTGGGAGAGTCCATGCAGGCGTGCCCAGGAGGAGCTGTGAATGTGGAGTGCATGAGAGGTAAGTGTGCGCGTGTTTGCACAAGCATGGAGCTCGACCAGCTGGGAAGTAGGGGAACTGTGGAGCAGACAGAGTGGCCATGCTGGTGCTCGGGGGATCCACAAATGTGCATGTGCTTGTGAACCCAGAGTGTCTGTGTCTGTCTGTGTATCTGTGTGCACACACTGCCAGGCCAGGAGGAGCACACTCTGTATGCAGGTGCTACCTGTGGTGGTCTGTGTGACCAGCCCCTCAGGGCCCTCGTTGCGTGTTTGTGCATGTGTGTCTTGAGTACCTAGTCAGCTTCACTACTGGTGCCTTATCGCTCGGCCTGGGCAGCGGCCCCGGCTCCCTGGGCGCTAGGCTGGGCTCCCATGGCTGGCAAGGAGGGACCTGGGCCAGAGCGGCCTTAACATAACTTAACACTTGTTACAGTCTCCTTTTGAATAGCACTTAGTGAATATGTATTATCTGAAGCCTTTTGTGCCTCTGTGTGTTTGCAAACTGAGTATAAAATGGGATTCACTTTTGGATATAGTGAAAATACAGGGCAGCAGTATGCTGAGATGCCTACTTTATGTTTATTTGTGGTGTGGAGCGTTTCTGTCCTCCACTGCTCCCTCCAGGTTTTTGTCTAAAGCTTGATACTGGATCAGAGGAGTCTGGTGTCCTGAGGAATGTAACAGTTACTACTGCAGCTACTCAGCCAACCAAAAATACTCAATTAGCTATACCTTTTCTTCCTCTTTTGCCTTCATCTCTCTTGAGGGCAGGTACTCTAAATGGCCATACTCAATTCATACCTATAGTTAATGGTTAGCAAATTTTTGACAAAGTTTAGCTTTCATTTCGTCTCAGAATTGTATGCAGCCATTTGGAAAAGGTGTCTTAGATTCTGAGAGATCACGCTTTTGAAAAGGAAATTCCTTCTACTTCTTATTTACTATTCTGTCATTACTTTATCTCTTTTTATTTCAGCTTTAATAAATATTCCAAATGTGACTGAGGTAAAGGAAAACATGAACCTTGGCTTGACTCTGATACAGAACTCAAAAACAGGAGGGTTTTTGGTACGTATCAAGGATGTATTCGGTACACACAGAAATTCCAGAGGAGAATGAAGAAACTAGAATTTTCCATGTTGTTTGATAAGTCCAAGCTGAATGTATTTTATTATGCAGCATAGATTAATACACATTTTGCATATTTTAAAATTTTCAATCCCACTGTCATTACCTAGGGTTCAAAATCAGGAAAATTATGAATTCTCTCCTTCATCATTTATTTAAATATCCTATGGAAGGGCACATAATTAAAGATTATGTGATTTAAGTCAGACAACATAAGCTAGAATCTTTCCACCATGTACATCTTTAAGGTAGTCTTGTATAGTTCTGATTATGCTTCAAAAGACAGTATGGGATCTCTCCTCCACCATATGCACTTGCACAGTGACTGTTCTCCTGAGATGTTAGGATTTCTAGTCCTGTGGAGTGGCGACACTTTTTATTTGGTTAGTGAGCTGGAGGAGGATGCATTTTGTATGTGTATATTCTGCAAACCACTCTCCTTGGAGTCTGTGTAACAGATTTCATAATCGAAAGGAAGCTAACACCTGTTTAATATGCTTTTTTACAATCTTAACCATAAGTATGAAAACTTGCAGTGTAGGTGTATTCCAGTTTGATGCATACATTGTAGGCATATGCAGTAATTGAGACAATAAACTACAAAATAGCTCTGAGGTTCACTTTAAGCTTTGTATTTTTCTGTTGCATCTTCCTAATAATCACAAAAGTTTAAAAATGTTTATTACCTTCATTTCCACATAGCCCAGTTCACTGAAGTACTTAAAAGTAGGTCTAATTCCAACCTTTCCAGCAGCTCTCTTAGAGTTAGTAAAGTTAATCATAACTTCAGAAAACAGCGAGAGTGCAGCTCTTCTTGATTGTTGGTTTGAGAAGATAGTGATTAAAAAAAAAAATCTTATTCTGTCTCTTGGATAATACCTTTAATTACTGTTAATACTGTTCTATGCATACCCACTTTTAATCAGTACCATAATTGCAGTGATTTAAAACATCTCATGCAGAAAAACGTGTATTTCCTAATAATACTTGAACCTGTCTCAGTTCAAAAGAATGTCCTGATCCATATGTTATTGACTGACTCTCCCTAAACTACATGAAGTAAAAAAAAAAAAAAAAAAAAAAAAGTTGAATGTTAAGACATGAGCAGTTAGCCATGTCTTTGGTAACAGGAGTTCTTTTTGACATAAAGACAACAGGGTACTCGGCCTCAACAAATGTCAAAAGCCGCATGAACCAGTGGTGGCAAGAACTGGACAAGTGGAAACTGCCTGCTCGTAATTGCAAGCTGCTGCCAACAAGGACTTCGCTCTGAGATACTGTCTCTGGCAGCTAGCCTGTGTGGTGTGCTCTTCACGTTATGCTCAGGGCTTCCTCCTCCCAGCTCACTGTGCTTCTTCCTTTTGCGGCTGCTTGTCTCTCAGCCTCCATCCACTTGCACCAGTTTGTGCTGCATCGGTGTCTGTGCTCGTGAGTCCTGCTGGTTCAGCTGTTTGATGCCATGTGATTGCTTCCCACAGGTATCCTAAATACAGGGCAGTCATTTCCATATGCTTGTTACATTTTTCTGAGGCATGCTCAGTCCTGTTGGAAAGGTGCTTAAGAATTTCACTGATGGTTAACAACTTTGTTCCAACTTTTGATTCCAGCTCCCATCTACCTTCATGTAAAATCTCCCTTCAGTATTTAACACCCCACAATTGTTCTCCTTTGTCCTTTGCTTTGCTAAACAAACACAGTGTTTTCACTGAAATGCACTTTTAAAAATACACCTCTCTCAAATATGAATGAGCAGATCTATGCTGTATTCCACACAAGTCTCTTCAGGGCACTGTATAGTGTATTTGGTATTTCCCTGTCTCAACTGCAAGTGCTTTTTGTCACATATCTTTAGGCCGTATTTGCTTTGCATGCTGGCTGCATGCTTACGGTCGCCCTGCAGTCAGCCAGTGCCCGATCTGTCTGCTCATGTCTTTCAAACAATGAGGTCCCAGTTTACATCCACATTTCTTAACATTAGTCCTGAGGGGCAAGTCTATGCCCCATTCTAACGTTCCACTTTTCAAATTCATCAGTCTTGATATGTGATCTCCCCAGTTTTACCCTGCATTAATAATGCATCTGAAATTTCTGCTAGAACATTAGAGCTTTGCCCTTTTTTAAAAAAAAGTGGATATCAACAAAGTTCATTAGAACATTTATTTTTTGCTCCAGGATTAACATCACAATTTTGAGTTACCACTAATACAGAAGAAAACTAGCAAATGCACAAATGAGATTGATCTAAGAAGAACTTTAAATTAAAAATAACTTCAAAGACTAGTAATTCTCCTATAGTACTGATATAGATTACTTCTTTTGTACCTCTCACCTCTGTGAATATCCATCTTTTCCAGTAAAACTAATCATGCCCCATGTAGCAGCTAAAAAGAGCACTTACTTAAGATCAGATAATGTAGATACACTTCCTTTCTTGTGTCTAGAAAATCTGCCATCTTGTCGAAGATGTTAGTGTGATGTGGTCTACTGCTGGTCAACCAGTGTGTGATTTAGCTCATTTTCCATTTACTTCTGCCTTTAATTACCTTTTTTCAGTGTTCTTGAGAAAAGGGTAATAGTGCTGTTCACTTTCTCTTCTCTTCCTAAATAGAGATGGTACATGTTAGGTTTTCCAGGCTGTCCCAACTGGATAAGGCAATCAGATAGTACATGTAATGAAGATATAATTTCTTTCACAACTGTTGGGTGAAGGTTATGTAGAGGTTATGTTTTTTCCTTGAATTCCTAACTTGATTTTCTTTTGAAAAGAAAATCCTTTTCCCCTCCCCACCCCCCCACCAATATCCTCATGACAAAATGCCGTCTCACGTATCTGTCTCTCTTACCTGGGTACTTTTGTACCTATCCTTCTAATATCACAGGTGTGGCTGTCATGCAACCAGTTCATTGATCCAGCTGAAAACGTTTCTTTTTACAGAGATCATTTTCAGTAGAGAAGCAAGATTATTATCCCTGGAAGGCAATGAAACACGTAGCGGAGGTATAGGTGAGACCAGGGCCAAACTTTTAGCGGCAGCTAAATAGGACAGCGCATACTGTGAGGCTGCAGCCTCACTGGAGATGGTGAAGTTTAACTTGTAAATATTTCGGTACAGTGGATTTCCCTTGGGAACAAGACTTCTCAAATTAATAAATGTGTGTGCGCACCTATCACAAAAGTCTTCAGTCTGGTCACACTATCGGTGGTAATTGGACATACGGCAAGAAAAGCTCCTTTCTGCGTGTTTGCAGCGACGTGCATGCTCATGGCTCTGATGCCACCTCCTGGTTAGTGGAAGTATTTCTCTGCATGCTTATAAGCGATGTGCAAGTACCAACCCTAGTTTTAAACTGATAGTTTGTAGAGCAGATGGCTTAAGGCAGCACAGATTCTTTGTAGACCAAGTCACACTCTCTACATGTTACAGCTACGCATACTCTGGAGGGGTCAGCTTGCAGAAAGAGCCATTAGGATGATCATCAATAGAAAATCCTTTTAATGAGAAAGTCTATGAAAGGGGTTACACTGTCACTGTGATTGCAAGGGATTTGGCCTGATAACCCAAGAGGGTATCTCTGATCCTATATGCCTGTAGTCCTGCTTATTGTGCTTTTGTATATGGATACAGTGAGACAAGTATTTGTTATTTTTATAGTTTCTTTTTTGTTGTTATTTTTAAAGACTTGTGGTCCTTTGTGGGCACAGCAGTGTGGAAGCCAATACTATGCTACAGGAGTCTGTTCTGAAGTCAGTCCAAGTTTCCAGATCCTAAGAAGTTTTTCTCCTGCTGTTCAAAGTAAGGCAACATGTGCAAAACAGATTCAATTAAGAAAAAATAAAATAAAATGAAATCAAGATATGTTGTGTCGGGGACTTTTAATTTGGGATTTTTAAAAAAATGTATGAGCAAAAAGCAAAGTCCCGTGATTTCACATGTAAGGACTGACAAATCATGATCCAATGCTGATATGAATATGGACTCACTCCTCTGAATTCAGAGGCATTGCACCAGTCCAGACTCAAAATCTGCATATGCTTCTATTGAGTCCTCCTTCTGGCAAAACCTTCCTATCTGAAGCATTGCCTGTGTGAGACCTAAATATACACCCCTGGATTTAGCCAAGAGTTGTAAGTATATTGAGGCTGAAAGTGCATGTAATCTCCACTTTTTATTTTTGTTTTAGAGTGTTCCTCTGTAATAGATGTTGTGGTGGTTTGTGATGAGTCAAATAGCATTTATCCCTGGGATGCAGTGCGGGCATTTTTGAAAAAATTTGTACAAGGCTTAGACATAGGCCCTAACAAAACCCAGGTAAGTCAAAGACATCTTTGAGAAAGACCAAAAAAAAAAAAAGACAATGGGTTAATTGGTTTTAAGAGTAATTTTAAAGGAAACCAAATGTGCTTTAGCATAACTACAGTACCTCCCCCAAAGCCACAAGCAGTTGTCTTGTATCTTTCAGAATTGAGTTTTTTATCTCACAGCTAACCTATTTCAAAAGGGATTAGTAATTTGATTCAAAACATAAGACAATTGAAATAGAAGTCTAGATTATATCTAGTGGAGTCAGATCTCTTTCCTGCATAAGATATAAAAGTAATTAAAATGTAGTCTGTGGGGATGTGGTAAAAGTAAACCAGATTTTTTTTATGGGCTTTTCATATGGCTCTTACTTTCCAGCTGCTGCATCTTTAAAATAGGGGTTTTTCCTGCTTGGTTACTGTCTGAATTCTTTTCTTCCTTTTAATTTGGTGATGGTAAGGAAAATTTTATACCTTTTTTTAAAACATTTTCTGTCTTTACAGTTGTCCATTTTCCATAAACAGTTCTGAGAACAAAGACTGGGGCACTGGAAATCTTTCTCCCAAAGGCTGCCTTCTTCCTGGGGCAACTTTGGAAGTGAGGTGCTTGAAAACTAGGCTTCCTGCTCAGTCCTTTCTGAACATCACCTTTAGCATCTTCTCTTTTTTTTTTTTTTTATACTAAATGTACATCTTGACATATGTCTTTATCTTCACCTAATAAAATAAATAAATAGGGTTTGCAGTGTTGTCAAGTAACTTTAGGATTTCCGTAGAAAAGATCAGATTGAGGTGCTGTCAGCTTGTAGAATTTTTGCCATTTTCTCATTTTGCCCAGAGCTCCCTGAATTATTGCTATCCATCAGCTCTTCCAGAAGTAACCAAGCAAACATTTAATGCCTACTATTTCGGACTGTTTGCATTAACATATTGTAGTCCATAATAAATAACATAATGTGCAAGAGCATCTTAGCTTTCTTTGCTTTCCAAGCATGTTAATATTAATTGGTTTTGTATACGTTGAAAGAAAATTGTAAAACCATGTCCATCTGCAGATCTTTTACTCCAACTTAAGTGTCATGATTCTACATAACTGATTGTAATGTGTGATAATCTAACATAATTTCTTTATTGCATAGGTGGGTTTAATTCAGTATGCTAACAATCCCCGTGTAGTGTTCAACTTGAATACATATCGAACAAAGGATGAGGTTGTTAAAGCAATGGAGGGAACATCCCAGAAGGGAGGAGATCTAACTAATACTTTCAAAGCCATTGACAATGCAAGGTAAAACACATTGATGATTACTGTGCAACTATTGTAACTTACCTTACAAGGCAATGGGCACATCTTGAATTTTCTGCTGGGAGTACACGTGCTTGGAGCCTCTGAGGAGGTTCCCAGCGCCAGGCAGAATCCTTCAGATACATTTACTGTGCCCCATGCAGAACAGTACAGGAATATGTAAATTAGATTTGCTGAAAAGCATGTCTTTAACCGTTGGTTATACTCTACACTAAAATAGTTCTGGTACCCAACAGAATTGTTTAGGCTGTCACAGATGTCTAAACATGACAGTGCATTGAGCAACATGGACAAGCTTTTATGAAAGATACAAAACCATTGAAAGAAGTAAAGTTTATCCAGGGATTCAGTGAAACTGGTAACATTCACGTTTGCAGGTCAGGCTTTGGTTGATTGCAGACAAATCTCCTGTTTGTTGTCAGTTTTTCATTGCAGCACCAGCAGCATGAAAAGTAGGAAAAACTTAAAACAGTCTACTGTGACTATGAATACATGTACAAACCAGGTCAGTTTTTCAATAGGAAGATGGTATTTTACAGTTGAACTAGGGACAGGACTCTAGGCCAAAATACATGCTGAATCAAATGGCCTTGAAAATCTTGTTTAGGGACAGACTCAGCCTTCAATGGAGGTGATATCTGCAGTAATATTGTGGAACCTATTATTAATACTCTTCCCCTATTGTTTGAGCTTGGTGGAGCCAATTCCTGGCTATTCCGCTGTTACAAAACATTAACAGTTCTGACAAAAAACCCCTTTTTTATTTAGAAGCATTTGTACAAAAAATACTGTTTTCCCTGGAATGTATATTTCTATCTATGGAAATACCATCCAGTCCTAATTGGGTTTTTTTCTTACTACTTTGATTACATTTCTGATGCCTCTTTGAGCAGTACTTTGAGAAGAAGCTGTCAAGAGCATAATTGAAACTTCTTATTGCAGGTTGTTAATTTTAAATAAAAAACACTACAGATGCACCTTGTTCTAAGTCAGTGATGGACAGATTCATTACAGTATTACTGAATTCCATCCATTATAAATTGACATGATAAATCCAATATTTTATAACAGACAGTTTGCCTTCTCACCTGAGTCGGGAGGACGTCCGACAGCCACAAAAGTAATGGTTGTTGTGACGGATGGTGAATCTCATGATGGCTCCAACTTGAAAACAGTGATAGGCAAATGCAATGAAGACAATATAACCAGATTTGGCATTGCTGTAAGTAGTACTATAATTTTATACATTATTGCAATTTTTGAAAGATCATTTTGTTGTGTATGTATGAAAGTGCATGTGCTATATATAAGCTGTATGTAATATGTGCCTTGTTACATTGGTGAGACTGAAACTTGGTGAAATTAATCTTTATGAACTAGTGAAATATTGGTTGTCTTTATTTGGCTGAAAAAGTAAAAACAATGTTACCTGAGCAACTTCAGTGTTTTTTTCCTTTGCCTTGCTTTATGTATTTTTTCAATATGAGTGGTCCCTTGTATAGGAATACAGTCTGATAAGCAATTCAATTATATGAATGCAGGTAATTTTAATTTTCTTTAATATGTAGAATATTTACTTAAATAATACAGAAGGAAATGGAGTAACACCATGATTTCCTTTACTCTTCTTATTTTGTTCTTTTTTGCCCAAGGTTTTGGGATACTTAATCAGGCAAGAACTCGATACTAAAAACTTAATTAAAGAAATCAAAGGAATTGCTAGTCATCCAACAGACAAGTATTTCTTTAATGTGTCATCTGAGGCTGCACTACTGGAAGAAGCAGGAACACTTGGAGAGCGCATTTTTAGCATAGAAGGTAAAATACTCGATGTCTCTGGAAAATTAGATCAGATTCTCCGAGCTGATGAGCTAAGGATTTTATTTAGCTTCACTATAGTGTAGTGCAGTGAAAATGAGGGGCAGCTGGAGCTGAGGGCTGCTCCCTTCTCCCCTGGAGAGCTCTGGTTTGCATAGGTGTTTCTCCAGCTACCCCACCCCTAATAAGCCTGAGCTTGAAGTTAGTTTCTGCAGTTTGTGGGAAATATTCCCCAGTTGCTGAAAATTCCAGTCAAGTCCTGGGCTTCAGGCATCAAATGCAGGCTTCTCTGTATGTGTCCAAATGTATTCAGAGCTGTTACCACCAGAGCAGTAAAGGTGCCTTTATGCTTGTCAGATTCACCTGTGTTTTTCTGTTAATGCGAAGCAACTGTGAATTTAAAAAGCAAATCAGAAGCCTCAGTTACTGATTACAGAACTGAAAATCTACAGTTATGCAATCTGTGTGGTGTCTGGCAGGCTCTCTCCCTAGCATCACCCACAGTCCTCTGTGTGCTGTTTGGAGGAGGGTGTTGTAGAGGCACTTTGTTCCCCCGCAAAAGCGAGCTTCTTACAATTAAATTTAGACCATGCTTGGGACATTTGTGACCTGCCCTCAGCCCTGCCCAGGGACCTTTTTGTGGCTGCAGCCTTCCTGTGCTCAGTGTGAACTCTTCTTTCACCTCCGTCTATTCTTTACCAGGCCTGTACTGCTAATCAAGTCAAGGGGATTAGATGAGCTCCCCCTCTCCAGTTTTTTGTACTCCTGTTGAATTCCTATTACCCGAGTCCCATCCATCTCAGGAAATATTCCTGCACATCACAGCACTTTTCAGGACGATTACAACAGTTGAATAAGTCCTCTATAATAATAAAAAATTATTTGAAAGTCATGAATATACAGTTATTAAAGTTGCCAATTTCAGTGTATTGTTACTGCTTCCTAGAAAACATAAAAAGAGATTAGCCACAGTGACAACACTGTGCAGACTGACTGAAGCCATCTTTATCACCACCTGCGTTTTTTTGGAAGAGATTTATAGCATCATGGCTCCATCTTACCAATTTTGCATTAAATCATCCAAATATTCTGCAGTTTATTAGCTCTCAGTTTTCTGTTGTTTGGAAATGTTGGAAATGTTTTAGAAGAATTGGTAGATTTGGAAAAAAATAACATACAGTCCCTATATAGCTATGCTCAGAGGCAGCAATATTGGATCTTTTGTATGTTTCTGTAGGGTTAACCTTATGTGAATATTTGTTTTGCCAGGTACAGATCAAGGTGATACATTCCAAATGGAAATGTCACAGGTGGGCTTCAGTGCGTATTACTCACAAAAAAAGGTATGTGAATTTAATTATTTAATGATACAAATAGATGTAATTACACAGACACAAATGCTTAGAAGTGCAACAAAATTAGACTAATAAAACACAATGACCAATTTTAAGATTTTTTTAAAAAGCAGAATGTAAAATAATAATCTTTTCTTTTTTTAATACCAAAAAATTACTTCTAATAGATACTGTATATCCCTAAAATGAAAAAATACATTAATATGTGAAGTTGAGTAATAGTTTCTTTCATGTAATGATTTTGAGATGTGTTAATCCAATTATTTCAGTGATTTCTGAGTTCACATAGCATTAAAAATTCAATTGCTCCAAGTTAATATTTTGTAGTTGAATAACTCAGAAGATTTTAAACTTATTGTAAATCTGTTGTATTTCTAAGCAGTAACCAAGATGTAAATAAATAAAGTCTGAATAGAATTTGTCTAATATTGATAAAGTTAATAATATTTGTTTAAAGTATATTAACACTTAAAAATTAGAAAGAATAATAAATCAGATATATTTTTTTTATAATCAATTTTAAGATTATCTTGACAAAATAGGTTCTCTTTGTAAAATTCCAGTGTGATTCAAGTAGCTTTCAAGTGAAAAACACAGATTGTTCATTTCTCATAGCCCTTAAAGATGAGTGAAATAATTTTTAAAAAGTCCTCTATGTTTGCACAAATTGAAGTTTTACTTTATTTAGCACATAATGCTAGGAAATGGCAAAAATTAAGAAAGATTTTAAGTTTTCTTCAGGGAAGTTACACATACGATTTTTACTGCAGTTTTCTATAACAGTATCTCAGTTCAATAAAGAATTTTAATTGTGAATATTCTAAACTATGGGTTTTTTGATGTGTGCAAGTCTTAAGATTAAGTATTTCTATATTAAGTATTCTGTGTAATAAACCATATTAATTGGATTTTAGATTTAACTGTTGTCACAAGGACATCTCCTTCCAATACACTTAAAGAATGAAATTTTGTATCTTTTTCTGTCAGCTCTTGTGTGATGTCATTGGCACTTTTGTTGGCAAAAAGGGGGCTTTAGTTTGTCTGATCCTTATTCTTCCAAGGATCATGAATGCATTATCGCATAGACTTGGCAAGCCCAACCCCAGGGTGGACAGGCTTAAGAAATTATCACAGTGTTTAAATAAACCTATCTGATCTTGAGTTGCAGTGCCCTGGAAGCTAAAGCAGTCATTTATCCTCTTGCAGTAGAGGGGTGATAATCCCTTTTAATGGGGCAGTAAAGTCCTGCACGTAAGTGGTAATTATAAGCAGCTCTGGTCAACTGCTTGCAGTCATTTGACTGTACATCACTGCCTTAAACACAGTGATGTAGGACATTACATATGGTAACTTCAGCTTTGCTCACACTTTCCCTGAAATAGGTAGTTCTAAAATGTTGATTTTTATTTTTTAAAGGATGTTCTGCTGCTGGGTGCTGTTGGGGCCTATGACTGGAGTGGAACAGTAGTTCAGGAGTCTTCAGGCAGAGTCACCACCTTTCCAAGCCACGTGTTTGAGAAAATTCTACAGGACAGAAATCATAGCTCTTATCTAGGTAAGGGGCTGAAATACAAATCTGGAAATGTATCAAACCTTTAGTAAGATATTAAAGAACTTGGGGAATTCTGCTCTAGCCAGACTCCAGTTAAGAATTGATTTGAGAATATGAGAAGAATTTTGCATCCAAAAAGATTTTATTTACTGGTCAACAGTTCATTGAGTGAAATCTTTATTATGTTTTTAAAATTCTACTCATATCAATGTGCAAACTGAAAAAAAATAAATCAGGCTTTGTCACAAAGACATAAGAAGTCATGGGATTTGAAAAGGCTGTTTAGTGTATCATACGGATCCTTATGAATACCTTCTGGTTTAATATTTGTATGTACTTCCCCAATTACATGTGGATGAGAAATTGATTGACTTGCTCATCTAGAATAATTCTTAAGAGGTCAGGTAATTTCCTTTCAGCACTGCTCCGCAAGGCACTTTCTAGAGTTTTGGCCTTAATCTTTTTGGAGCAAACAATGTTGTTGCCTTTTCTGTCCCGTCATTTCCTTTCCAACTCCTGTCCCTCACTAAGAGGTGTCCATACCAGGTCTCTCTCAGCAGCTTGGGGAAGCCAAAGCTAAAGGGCTGCTAGCGCATCACACCTTGCTAGATTGGCCCCTGTTGTTCACTGCACCCTCTCACTTCAAATGGCTGTATGGTGTATTAACTAGAAATATGCGGCCTTAACTGGCAGAATAAAATCTTGTTGCTGCTTGTTGAACTTCTAATTTCCGATGATGTTCTCTCCCTAGAAAAACAGTGACTGAACACAAATCTGAATTAGACTGGTGCATGTAATGACCAAGGCATAATTCATTTACACTGTGCTCCTCACATTGTCCTGCGGCTTGCTAAAAACCTGCGTATTCTGCCCAATCACTGGGATTTTGTTATTCAGTTTAAACTGTAGTCTTTGTAAAGGATGATTTTTTGTTGTTGTTGTTAAAATAAATTTGCTGTAATTAAACCACAGAAATGTAAAATATGTAATAATGCTAGCTTTATAGTGCTAACACATGTTTAAAGTAGTCGCAGGTATTAAAAGATGTTTCCTGAAAGCAAATAAAGTTAGAATAATGGGAATGAGGATTAAAATGTTCAAAGAAGTTCAATCAACCTAAGCCCATCAGCTGACAAGCTATTAATATAGCCTCTTGTATTCAGCCAATACACTGGGCTGTGGTTTGGTGAACTGTGGGAAAATGCACTGCAAGCTTTGCAGAAGCTAGGTGTTCCTTCTCACTTGGAAGGCTGGTTCAAATGTTAATCTCATATTTATCTTTATTTCTTCATTCCAAGGATACTCTTTGTGCTCTTTTTCCTATCTTCTTCACAAGCATGACATTTTTGTGGTATATGTTTTACTGAATAGGCTAAACTTTTGCCCATGCTATCCTGCAAACCTGCTTCAACTTGATCTGTGTGTCATTGTTCTCTCCAGAAGACTATTGCAGATTTATGCATATGTGACAGCTTAACTTCCCGTCTGGAAGCATCATTCTCTGTGATTAACATACCAGATTGACTCATTCTCTGTGCCTTTACGGATAACCAACTGACGACATGTAGTTAATGGTCTCTCACACATGTTAAATGTTGGCTTCTCTCCCCAGGTTATTCTGTTGCTGTTCTGTCAACTCAGAGTTCCGTCTATTTTGTTGCTGGTGCACCAAGATCCAACTACACTGGCAGAGTAGTAGTTTATGATGTTGACAGTGATGGCAATATCACAATTGTGCAGTCCCAGAGAGGCGAGCAGGCACGTATATTTCTGGTCATGAATGCAGATTTTGAAGGCATCTGTTTTTATTGACACAGCAGTAAATTGCAACGCATTTGTTCTGAAAATTCCTCTTTTTTTGCAATGCATTTAGAATCCACTTGAACTTTTCTCTGCCACTGGACTGTTTCAATAAGGTTAACTGTAACTCTTAAACAGTATTTTAGGAGGTCATCCAATTAGTGGTAAAAGATAATATACAAAGGTACTTAATGTATTATTCTGTCAGCACTTCTAATGGACTCAGTGAGCTCCACTCTGCCTGAGAAGTTGTGAAGTAGATTATGTCAAAAGAGAGATTTGTACACTCATTCTCCTTTTCTTCATTTGGAAAAGAGCAGAGAGTTTCGATGGTTTTGGTTTTGTTTGTTTGTGAGACAAATCAGAGATTAAGTAGTTTCATGTGCACAGTTTAATATAAAAAATACACCTCCCATAACTTACTCTCTGTTTACATTCTTATGGCTGAGTGGTAAAGCCATAGCAGCAGCTACTGGGCATAAACAGTGCACACATGATAAGGACATGATTCTTCAAACACTGGAGTATGTTATATAGTAATTTCATTCCAACGGGCAGTTTCATTCATTAGTATTTCTTGGTGTAAGTTTTCTGAGTCAGATGCTAAAACATTATGGTTTACAAAACCCACATACAAACATGATTCTCTTACTACTGATTTCAGTTTGGCTCCTACTTTGGCAGTGTGGTGTGTTCAGTGGACGTTAACAGGGATTCTGTGACAGATGTGCTGCTTGTGGGTGCACCAATGTTTATGAATGACTTGAAGAAAGAGGAAGGGAGAGTATACATGTTTTCCATCACCAAGGTAAGAAGGGTACTGTAGCAAAGCTGGAATCGTCTTCCTGCCTCTCCATCCATGATAGGTGCTGATATTTTCATTTGCAGCTGGAGGGATTTACTCTTGTTCCCTGGACTACAGTTTTACCAAGGAAAAAACAGTCCAAACTGCAATACTGCTTAGTAGCAGTATCTGTTTTGTTAAATCAGAGTGATCAGAAGAGCAATCCCTTGCCCCACAGCCAACTGGTGTAGCAGACTCACTCAAGCCGGCATTGCTTAGGGCTAGCTTATTTCAAAGCCAGCTGGCCACATGCGTGCCAAAAAGCCTTTGGCCCTGGATCTCTTCAGGGCCTCTTAGTCACTATTTAGTGATCTTTTTCAAAGTGTTTGAAATATTGCGAGTGGTGTTTTTGTAAGCAGAAACAGAGCATGTGCTTTTCCTGGGGTGTGGCATAAGGGCAAGGGGTAAATGGTGCCAAGCCTGCCTGCTTAGAGGACTGTGAATGGAGTCCTTCCCAGTGCAATCTTGCCCATTCTGCTTTTCAGGAGCAGCTGCAAACTTTCCACAGAACTACTTGTGCATGTAATCTTGTAATAAGCCAGCTGGAACAGACCAAAATGGAGTCAATAAGCAAGTTGGTAGCTAAGCTAAGCACTACTAGTGACCAGGTGGCTCCCTGGTCCTGGTATTAGGCACTGAACACAAATATAACACAAAGTTGACAATTTGATTTTGGCAAATCTATTCAACACCTAACAGTATTCCCCAAACAGTTCTAATATATGGTCTTCTGACAGTTTTCTGCATTGTTTCGTGGACTTTCACACTGGATGGTTGTTACTACTCATGTTTCCTGTGTTCAGAGAAGCTATGTTATTTTTCTTATGCTTGACTGACTGTGGATTTTATTCAGACCTGTAGTAGGTGCTTTCAGAATATCTGTATTCAGAGTCCTGAAATCTCTGGCACTTTTGAACAGTCTCTCAGTCAGTCATTGGATGTCTGAATACATATAATAAATTAATACCTGCCATCCATCAGCGAAAATTGAACATGGCATTTTTACCAGGTAAATTGCAATCAAATAAATAGAGAGGAAGTACCACCCCCTTCAGAAGCAGCTCATAGTCAGATCATTCTGGAGCAACAGGAAACAGTACCGTGAGGCAATTTCAAGGTAGATGAAGGTGCTGGCAGCTGACATTGGTCTTCGTGACTGTGAATTTAGGCATGAAATACAGAAAAAAAGAAAAATGAAAGGATATGTTTTTTTCATGTTTTGAAAACTGAATAAATTGGAAGACTATCCTTAAAACTTTTAGTCTTTGTCAAATGTTAGGTTTATAATTATTTAAAAGTTAAAATATATCATTCTTTCATTATTCTTTTTTAAGGAACCTGGATTTGTGCAACTTGTCCATGTTATACAAATAATATTTTTCTAGTAGTTTCTAATAAATAACTTGGCTGATATTTCTAAAATTTAACCTCAGTTATCACACTGTGCTTAAAAGATGAGACCAGTATTTGCCAGAGAGGTGAATTTAAGCTAGTGTAAATGTGATTATTTAACTGTAAAAATCTCCAATCTTTCTTTCTTCATTGGCAGTGGAGAGGTCAGGAGTTTAGCATTTGGACACATGTTTTTTGCATTAGTTTAGTTAGGAAATTCCATTTCTGTTTCAAAGAATTATGTCCAGTTACATAATTTCCATTCCCTTTGCATAAAAACTGGTAATCCAAAACTGGAAACTGTATTTTTCAATGTATTGTGAAACTTTCAGAACAGTCAGATGAGGACAGTGAGAGCATTTAAGCTTCATACATATGGTTATATTTGATGTTAGTGCTTTGCATAGCATGCTTTGATTTTGCTGTGTAATGCTTGCCAAGACTCTGAGACATAATGCAAACTGAATGGGCAATACAATGGGGAAGGAATTCAGGGTTGAGCAGTCCAAGAGGAATGTACTGGAAAACAGAAACAAAAAACAATGCACATAGATACTGCTCCGATGTCTAATCTGGTGCAATGATAGCTGTGTTTTTGCTTTTTCTTCTTTTTTGTTTTTTGAAGGGAATTTTGGATCAGCAAGAACTCTTGGAAGGTCCACAGGGGTCAGAAAATGCTCGCTTTGGATCAGCAATTGCAGCACTTGCAGACATTGATTTGGATGGCTTTAATGATGTTATAGTAGGTGCACCACTGGAAAACCAAAACTCTGGAGCAATTTATATTTACAATGGCTTTCAAAAGACTATACGTACCAAATATTCTCAGGTACATAACTTTGTTGCATAATGCTGTACTTGGTGCCTTTAGATCTGGTAGAGGAAAACAGAAGGAATTTCTATCTTTTAATTGGCTACTGTTTGATCCTCTTAAAGGAGTACTGTTATTCTCATGGCTTATTTCAAGTTTTGTGCCTCTCCTTACTTCAGCTGTCAGCATGCCCTGGTTGATGTGGTGGTGCTTATAACTGAAGGATATAGAGGAAAACAACTTGCAAGATGCTCTATCTGAGCCTCTTATAATTTTTGGTTCCTGCATATGAAATCAGCTAATTCCCTATACATTTTTTGAACCTAATTATTCAGGGGTTTAGGGTTGCTGTAAAGATCAGATTAGATAAATCCCAGCTGTGTAAATTATAAATACATAGTTTTTAAGGAAAAGACCTTCAAGGGTCTTTCCATATCTTACATGCTAATGTAATGCTAATTTTAGTGACATTTTCCATGCAGTCTTTCTGGTTGCAGAAAGTATTTGTTAGAAGTCTTGTTAAGCTTCCTATTCTTTGAGTTGCTCAATGTGAGATGGAAAAAGTTTCCAGTAAGTACTAGCTGGCATACAGCAGTCAGTTAGTTGATCTGCTCCCAAGACAGAAAAATCTAGTCCATTGTCTGCTCCAACAGGGGAGGAAAAAGTGCTTAAAAGCATCTGAGAAAACATACACAAAAGCATTTTGTTTAAACAATACATTTTATATACAGGGAATATCAGTGAAAATCTGTTGCTTAGGCTGCTATCTACAGACTTAAGCACACTTGTAGCAAGCTCAGTAACCAAACTCTCTTTCCCAGAAAATTTTAGGATCGGATTCTGCTTTTGGACAACGGCTCCAATTCTTTGGAAGATCAGTAGATGGCCATAGAGACTTAGATGACGATGACATTACTGATGTATCAATTGGTGCTGATGGAAATGTCGTTCTGCTATGGTTGGTAAACGCTTTTAGAAAGGAAGCACTTAATGATTCAGATGCAAGTGGAGCATTTAGTTAATTAAACAGCAAAACAAACAAACCAAAAAGCTCTTTCATTCCCTGTGTTCAGAGCTAACACAATTATTGCCTCATCGCTGCTATCGTAGCTAGCTGGAAAACCGCTTTAGACTAAACCTCTTTTAAGCATGTATCATCAAACCATCAAAAGCCAAGGCAGTGTGGGGGCCAGAGCCAGGGCACATGGGGTGAAGCCAGGTGGCGGAGGCTGCTGGGCGGGACCTGGGCAGGGATGGAGAAGGCCAGGAGACACCCCTGCCCGCTGGTGCTGTCCAGAGGGAAGGGGCAGCAGCAGGGAGTAGGGCTTGCTTGAGAGTATTTGTAACAGCAGGTTGTACTTCAGTAGCCACATTATAATTCTGTTAGCTGAGCCTGAGACAGATGAAACCACTTCCCACACGACCTACGTGACCTTTACTGGCTGGGGGGCTGATCTAGGGGAGAGGGTTGTTCTGTAGGGTAAGGACAGAGAGCAATGAAAGAGAGTTGGCATCTATTTCTGGAAAGAAACTAATTTTCTTCTGGCATGTGGCCTTTGCCAGAGCAACCTGAGTACTTCCACAAAATAAAGTCTTCACAGAACCCGAATCCTCTGCCTCCCTAAGTACTGTGTATTTTCCACTACTTCCTTGAGGAGCTAAATCAAAATGCAGCTTACTTTCCTCTATCGCCTGTCTTCTTGCCTGAGGCTCTCCATTGTAAGAAGGAAAACATCACTGAATTGCTACTTATTTCATAATGAAACAAGATTATTAAAAACAAGTGGTCAGTTTGGACCTTTGACCCACAATAGAACTGCTGCTGATGCTGGTGGGAATTGCATTAAAGAAAATTGTGCTTCTTGGAGTACCAGCATTTATTTAGATTTGATTAATGAAGATGCTAATTTTTCTTTCACTCTAGCATTTGGTCTGATTAATGAGTTTTACTTTTGATTAAAGTGTTTGGTTTTACATGCAGGGTTCCTCTGCAATTGTTCTTCAAAATCTTGATTAATTACATTTAAGTTGTTTTTCTGAAAAATAGGAGTATTAATTAAAATGAAGAATTACCCTTTTTGGCCTTCTAAGCGGAGCTGAGTAACTAACTGCTCCATAAAGGAGCAGAAGAAGATTACTTATTTGGAAAACAGGACAAGGGCTTTGTTCTCTGTTATCTTAAGCAAAGGATTAGAACGTTAGGATAAAGACATTGATTATCCAGTAATTTGACACAATAAATTATTTATTGTCATTACTGAAAGCTACTGTATCAACAAATTCACTTATATGCAAAGAAAAATAATTTTACCAGTGTCATTAAAAATGTTTATGTTGGGAACCAAGAAAATCAATGTTACATTTACAGACAGTAATACACAACAGCTTTTATGTTACCCAGTGCTCTTGAAAATCATCTTTTAAACCTTTTAAAAATATTTTTCAGGTCACAAAGCATTGCAAATGTGTCCATAATTGCCTCATTTAAACCTGAGAAAATCAGTCTGCTGAACAAGAACACAGAAATAACTGTCAAAATATGTTTTCAGGCTACATTTAGACCTGCTAAGAGAAATAATCAAGTGGGTAAGAGTATTTCAATGACTTGTCTTACACTAATTTTTTTCAAAAGTCCATTATTCAAATGAGTAGTGGAAATTCTAAAGATATATTAGATTGAATGTCAAGAAAGGCAAAATCAGTAGAAAACTGAAGTGCTTGAGAAAGTGTTTTTAAGACCTACTTTCATTACTGGCTCCATAATCTTTGAAAAGTGAGGAATTAACAGTATAAAGGAGAGCTGTATCTTTATTCAACAAACCCCAGAAAATGTCATTCGTGAGAAGATGGTTTTTTTCAACCTACTGGTTTCAACAGCAAACTGCAGACTGTTCTTCTCTCTTCAGCAAAAAAAATAAATAAAAATTTCCATAGGCTCAGTGCAGATTTCAGTGGGGAGATGCTCCTCTTTTCAGAGGACAGGAGAGCACCAAATATTTCTGAGACCAGCACTGGCCTATTAGTTAAATGTACACATCATGGATAACACCAGTTGGACTGCTTCAGCACTAGGTATAGTGCCTTTAGGAACTCATGATTGTGAGCTATAAAATAATGTTGAACTTCCACAGAGTATTAGTCATAATATGAAGAGAAGAAGACACAAATTATTATGTGATTGAAGAGAAGATGCAGATTCTTTATAGTCTCCTCAGAGCTCCAGAATATGGTTGCAAGGCCCCTTTATCTAGTGTAATCCTGGGCCTGCTGACTGGCTTCTTGCCTGAGCTGCAGGCTCAGACATCTGCAGTGGAGATTGGATTGATTGTCATTTAATGTGCTCTCTGTGGATGAGAACTTACGTCAGTATTGAAACCTGTTTGACTGCTTTGGAAAACACGAAAGAAAATTTTATCGTTTTGAGACTGCTCTGTGTTTAGCAAGATACAAAAAAAAAAAAAAATATTTAGTGTGGTTTGGAAAGCCCAGTCACACTGTAATGTTGAGCATAATAATGAGATCATGGGCAGTCATACTCAGCAAAAAATGTACTGTTACTCTTCTTATAGCTATAAAGTACAATGCAACATTGGATGCAGATCTCCAGTCCTCAAGAGTGACTTCTAGAGGATTATTCAAAGAAAATAATGAAAGGTACATGCAGAGGGATCTTGAGGTACGTCATGAGGCGAATTGTGTTCATGACATCTTCAGTGTACAGGTAAGTGCAATTGCAAGCAGTCTTATGTGACAAAAATGATCAGATGAAGATGTTGATGAATTTTATGCATGGTTTACTCCATGATTTATGTTTGTCAGATTCCCCAACAACTGAAAAATACTTAGTACGATTCTGATTTCAAAAAACCCTAAAAACTGTCAAATTCAGCACAGTGTTTTAGAGGCAGTTTTTAATTAGGTACTTCAGGTCTGACATAACACCAAGTCCGTAGTCCATAGTTTCAATAGATTTTAATTTCCTTCTGAGCAGATTCTTCTGTAAGAACTGAGACATACATGCAAATGTTTTCTCTCAAACTAATAACATTTCAGGCAGACTTCTGATGCCTGCTAGCCCTAGGTAATATACCTAGGAAAAATAAAATTAAGAATGTCTCCATCTTCCCCTAGAACCAAAGACCAAACACAGCCCTGAGAGTTGCCTTAAGCCCCCTGCATGATGCTAGGTAGAGGACTTTGATTCTTGCTTTGCTTTGCAATGCAAGTATCTTTGACTTGATCACATTTAGTGACATTGTGGAGCCAGGAGCCACAGGGCATTCATTCACAGAGCATTCATCCAGTACTAAGAAACAGAGGAAACGCGAGGTATATATATTGCATTTTAGTGTTGTTCAGGCCCAGCTGCTCTCTGTGATGGTAAGGCGGAGTGGAATAGGAATTTGACTTCTGCAGCCAGGTGACAATGAAGGTCACCTGCTGCTGGCTTTTGAGGACCGGCTTCTGCAGCTGCAGAGAATCTGCATGTTCCTTAGCCCTAAAATCACAGTGACTGTGATGAAGTGGCCAAACTCCATCATATTTGAGAAGTCCTGGCAATCC